GCAGTGTCCCTGGGTGTGCCTGGGCCAGCTGGGCCCCTGCAGCTGTGCAGAGCTCTGAGAGCTTGGGATTCAGGGCAAGGTGGGTGTGAGCAGTGTTTTATGTCTCAGAGTGAGGAATTCAGGGCAAGGTGAGTGTGAGCAGTGTTTTATGTCTCAGAGTGAGGAATTCAGGGCAGGTGTGAGCAGTGTTTTACACCTCAGAGTGAGGAATTCAGGGCAGGTGAGTGTGAGCAGTGTTTTACACCTCAGTGTGAGGAATTCAGGGCAGGTAAGTGTGAGCAGTGTTTTATGTCTCAGTGTGAGGAATTCAGGGCAGGTAAGTGTGAGCAGTGTTTTACACCTCAGAGTGAGGAATTCAGGGCAGGGTGGGTGTGAGCAGTGTTTTATATCTCAGTGTGAGGAATTCAGGGCAAGGTGAGTGTGAGCAGTGTTTTATGTCTCAGTGTGAGGAATTCAGGGCAAGGTGAGTGTGAGCAGTGTTTTATGTCTCAGAGTGAGGAATTCAGGACAAGGTGAGTGTGAGCAGTGTTTTATGTCTCAGTGTGAGGAATTCAGGGCAGGGTGGGTGTGAGCAGTGTTTTATATCTCAGAGTGAGGAATTCAGGGCAAGGTGAGTGTGAGCAGTGTTTTATATCTCAGTGTGAGGAATTCAGGGCAGGTAAGTGTGAGCAGTGTTTTATGTCTCAGAGTGAGGAATTCAGGGCAAGGTGAGTGTGAGCAGTGTTTTATGTCTCAGTGTGAGGAATTCAGGGCAAGGTGAGTGTGAGCAGTGTTTTATATCTCAGAGTGAGGAATTCAGGGCAGGTGAGTGTGAGCAGTGTTTTATGTCTCAGAGTGAGGAATTCAGGGCAAGGTGAGTGTGAGCAGTGTTTTATGTCTCAGTGTGAGGAATTCAGGGCAAGGTGAGTGTGAGCAGTGTTTCACACCTCACAGCTCCTCCTACACCAGGCTGAATCCATTCCCAGCATGCTGAGGTGACTCAGTGAATGCCAAAAGGAGCTTTGTGAATAAAAAGAACACGTGAAAATCTCTTGCTGTAATCAGTCAGCAGAAGTCAGTTGTGAAAAAGTCCGATATTGTTTTGTCAATAAATGACACTGTGCCCTGCCCAGATCGCAGGAATGGGCCCTCACCCTGCACACAGCAATATTTGCTGCCCCAGCAGCTCATTCCCAGCTCGGCTCACACTCAGTGCATCCTCTGATCGATCACCTCAGCTTTCCCAGGGCTGCTCATTTCCTGCTCCATCAGTGCCCTCCATCAGCCCCATCACACAAACCACAGCCTGTGTGCCCAGAGCAGCCCCCCAGGCTCGTTTCCATCAGGAAACCCTGCAGATGGAGCGTTGGATAGCAGCAGCAGGTTTAGGTTTAGGCTCTGCCTTGGCTCAGGGTGAGGGCACAGCCCTGCCTGGGCAGGGGCACGGAGGGTTAATCTGCTGTGCCCACATCACTGCTTCCATTTCACGTTTGCGTTTCTTGCTGAACACTGACAATGCTGCTCTGTTTGCAAGGAGTAATTATGTGTTGCTATGCAGGCATCTGAATTAAATAATCAAGCTGCAAAAATAACATTCATTTGTAGTAATAACCTCTGCATTTCCAGGCTGGGTTTGCTTGGCTTACAAACAGCTGATCAGTTTTCTTAATTAATTAGCGAACAGCCTACAAAAAGATACCCTGAGAACGTTGGATTACACGTGCTGCTGTGGAGAGGGAAGGGAAATAATCCTTGCTGTGTCTCCTTAGCTCCTCATTTCCAGATAGGTTCGTTTGTGCCCCCTCTGTGGGGGAAAAAACCCCAAAACTGTGAATTTGAGTGGTTTTTATTGTTCCTTTTCTGTCTCTGACTATTAGTAAATGTCAGAATGGAGTGAGAGTGAGGAGGAGTGAGGTTTCATGTGGCAAACAGGTTGGGAAGGGAGATGCTGTGCTCCTTGTCCTGTTTGTGTCCCTGGGGTTGCTGTTGGTCTGTGCCCATCCGCCATGCCCAGCCCTTGGCACGCTGTTCCCAGAGCTGGCTGGGGCTGGGCCTGGCCCCGAACAGGGCAGGGTGTGATGGTTCCCCTGGAGGAGCTGCAGGACATCTGTGCTGGTGCTCGTTGGCTTCTCCCCCCTCTGCAGAACTCTGTTCTGAAACTCCTTTTTCCCAGGGCAAACAGGCACCTTGGCACTGCCACCAATGCTGTGAAATCAGGACATTCCTGCTTTCTAAAGAGAATTTGCTGCATTATTTTTCCCCCTTCAAGGCAGAGGCTCATTTTAAATAGAAGTTGACCAGATGCCTGTGAACTGAGATGCTTTAATCCATTTACAGATCCCATCTAATTCTTGTTCAATGTCCAAAACTGATTCATGCTGTTTAAAAGGAACAAAACCCAAAATGTCAGCGAGAATAAAACCCCCAAATGAGCACTTTGTGAGCGCTGCAGCAAAAGACAATATTTTCATTAAAGGGGAGAATGTGGTTTTGCAGCACAGGGAATCGTTCTGAGCTGACACAAAGACACTTGAAATTTAAAGCTCTTGCCATGGCTGCACTTTCTGCAAGCCTGGCTTTGGCATGTGGCTGTCTGCAGCTTTTCACATGTAAAGGTGTAGAAAAGGAAAAAAAAAAAAAGTCACACTTTTAGGAGGGAGGGGACACTTCCTTTGTGTGCACATGGTTTGGAAATACAGAGTCTGCCACAGCAGTGGTGCCTTGACACCTCTGAGTGCAGCCTGCTTTGTAAATGACACGAGCATTTAGGAAGTTGGCTGGCAAAATAGCATGTCTAGGAATCTCTGTGCCATGAGGGATGGAAATGCGAAAAGGGAGACTCTGACAGACGTTTTGTGCTTTTAGCAAGATGGAAGCTTCAGGTTCAACCCCACAAAGTGCTCTGTGCTGGAGAGTGGGCACAGAAAAGGGGTTGTCGGGGTGCAGCTGTTAAATGAATTGGACCAAAATGACCAAAAAGGTATTTAGGAAGGAGATCAGCTCATCTTTCCCCCAAAGAACACCCAGAGAACTTGCAGAGGGATGCTGGGTTGATGTTTCCCATCATTGCTGTGAGCTCACCAAGAGAATTTATGAACTCTTAGCGAGAGGGTAACAGATTATTTACTCGGACTTTTAGTCTCCAGAATTCAGAGAGCCTGCCCATAAAAGCTGTGGTGCACAGAGCATTATTGCAGCAGAACAGCAGAGCCTGCAGCCCCAATTCCTGAGCAGCAGGCAGCAGAAATCAGAGCCTCTCACTTGATGTCCCTTTGATTTTTTCCCAGTTTGCTCTGATTGCAGCTGTGGTGTTTGAAAGGCTCCAGCCCAGGATGCTCAGAGGGTTTGGGATGTGCGGGTGGCTCAGTCTGGGATGCTCAGAGGCTTTGGGGATGGGGATGGTGGAAGTGACCCAGTCCAGGGATGCTCAGAGGCTCTGGGGATGTAGAGGTGGCTCAGCCCAGGATGCTCAGAGCAGTTTGGGGATGGGGAAGTGGCTCAGCCTGGGGATGCTCAGAGGCTTTGGGGATGCTCAGAGGCTTTGGGATGTGGATGTGGCTCGGTCCAGGGATGCTCAGAGGCTCTGGGGATGGGGATGGTGGAGGTGGCTCAGTCCAGGGATGCTCAGAGGCTTTGGGATGTGGATGTGGCTCAGCCTGGGATGCTCAGAGGCTTTGGGATGTGGATGTGGCTCGGTCCAGGGATGCTCAGAGGCTTTGGGATGTGGATGTGGCTCAGCCTGGGATGCTCAGAGGCTTTGGGATGTGGATGTGGCTCGGTCCAGGGAAGCTCAGAGGCTTTGGGATGTAGAGGTGGCTCGGTCCAGGGATGCTCAGAGGCTCTGGGGATGGGGATGTAGAGGTGGCTGAGTTGGGAATGCTCAGCCTAGGGATGCTCAGAGGCTTTGGGATGTGGATGTGGCTCGGTCCAGGGATGCTCAGAGGCTTTGGGATGTAGAGGTGGCTCGGTCCAGGGATGCTCAGAGGCTCTGGGGATGGGATGTAGAGGTGGCTCGGTCCCAGCTTTCCTGGCACAATGCTGCCACTGGCAGTGGTGTGCCGGTATTACACAGCTCTGCTCGGGAAATGCCTTTCCCGGGAAGGGCTGCCCGTTGTTTATTCAGCAGGAAAGCTCTGACACCGGGCTGCTGCTGCTGCAGGGAGCCAGCAGAACCTGCCCACAGCCCAGTGACCTGCAGCGGAGCCCCGAGTGGGTTTAGGAGCTCAGGAGCAGTCTCAGACTGCCCTAGGGGATTGCAGCCCAGAGGAAAACAAGGCTGCGCTTGCCTCGTGCCAGAGGAATGTTCCCTTCCCTTCAGGCCTTTGTTGTTCTCTGTGTTGGAGCAGCAGGGAGAATTGCAGGCCAGGGGGTTTGGAGATGAACTGGGCAGTGTCTGTAGTGACTCCATCTAAAAGTTCTCTCTAAGTGGTGTTTATGCTTCCTTTTCCTTCTAAGAAAGAACAAATTGGTGGCTGGAGCCTCAGTGAAAAAAGAGCATTTGGGGAAGACAGTTTTGTGTAAATTTTGCTGTGAGGTTGATGAGTAGTCAGAGCCTGTAATTATTGTGATTGAAGTGCAGTATCCTATTCTTTTGTGTAATAAAGAACATCTATGATCATGTCTGCATCCATCTGTCCTTGGGGGAAAAAAATCTATTATCTCTTGGTTCCCACTGCTCAGAATGGTTGCACTGAATGGTGTTACTGTGGGTATTCTTTTCTGCATGTTTGGCCCTAAATACTTCTTATTTGTGGAAATCAGCAGCCTGCACGAGGCCAAAAATTGCAATCCTTTTCTGATCCCTGCCTCTTCCCCTGGGTTAATTAACATGAGTGAGCAGATTGGGGTTTGCTGGTCAGATGCAGAGACACAACTGATGCAGGGGGGTCTCCCTGCCTTTGTCTGGGCTGGAAATCAATCAGGCTGGAGAAATGCTCTCCTCCCTCTGGGTCTGACCTGGGGTTTCCAGTGAGGGCTGGGAGCCGATTTCCTGTCAGTAACACCCCAGGGTTGTTTTCCAGAGCAAGAGGGACCATCTGCTGATGAACGTCAAGTGGTACTACCGCCAGTCCGAGGTGCCCGACTCGGTGTACCAGCACCTGGTGCAGGACAGGCACAACGAGAACGGTGAGTGGGGGCAGCGTGGCATGGTCCTGGCTTTAACAGGGGCAGCCTGGCATGGTCCTGGCTTTAACAGGGGCAGCTTGGCCTAATCCTGGCTTTAACAGGGGCAGCCTGGCATGGTCCTGGCTTTAACAGGGGCAGCCTGGCCTAATCCTGGCTTTAACAGGGGCAGCCTGGCATGGCCCTGGCTTTAACAGGGGCAGCCTGGCCTAATCCTGGCTTTAACAGGGGCAGCCTGGCATGGTCCTGGCTTTAACAGGGGCAGCCTGGCATGGTCCTGGCTTTAACAGGGGCAGCTTGGCCTAATCCTGGCTTTAACAGGGGCAGCCTGGCATGGTCCTGGCTTTAACAGGGGCAGCGTGGCATGGTCCTGGCTTTAACAGGGGCAGCCTGGCCTAATCCTGGCTTTAACAGGGGCAGCCTGGCATGGTCCTGGCTTTAACAGGGGCAGCCTGGCATGGTCCTGGCTTTAACAGGGGCAGCCTGGCATGGTCCTGGCTTTAACAGGGGCAGCCTGGCATGGTCCTGGCTTTAACAGGGGCAGCTTGGCCTAATCCTGGCTTTAACAGGGGCAGCCTGGCATGATCCTGGCTTTAACAGGGGCAGCGTGGCATGGTCCTGGCTTTAACAGGGGCAGCCTGGCATGGTCCTGGCTTTAACAGGGGCAGCTTGGCCTAATCCTGGCTTTAACAGGGGCAGCCTGGCATGATCCTGGCTTTAACAGGGGCAGCGTGGCATGGTCCTGGCTTTAACAGGGGCAGCCTGGCATGGTCCTGGCTTTAACAGGGGCAGCTTGGCCTAATCCTGGCTTTAACAGGGGCAGCGTGGCATGGTCCTGGCTTTAACAGGGGCAGCCTGGCCTAATCCTGGCTTTAACAGGGGCAGCCTGGCATGGTCCTGGCTTTAACAGGGGCAGCGTGGCATGGTCCTGGCTTTAACAGGGGCAGCCTGGCCTAATCCTGGCTTTAACAGGGGCAGCCTGGCATGGTCCTGGCTTTAACAGGGGCAGCTTGGCCTAATCCTGGCTTTAACAGGGGCAGCCTGGCCCAATCCCAGCTTTAGCAGAGCCAGCCTGCCCTGCCCCAGTCCCAGTTTAACAGAACACTTCTGCACAGGGGTGTGGAACCAGGACATGGTGCTCTCTGCCTGCCTGGTGTCACTGCTGTGTGTCCTGCTCCTGCAATCAGGGCCATTCCAGGTGTGCTGGAAGTGTTTGGCTGCACTATTAATAATAATTAACAACAACGTTAATAATAGCATGACAAAATGATTATCATTATTATGATGATTATTACTGTTATCTCCTTGAAGGAGAATAGAAAAGCAGAATCACCCTGGATCCTTGGTAGGCCTCTGGACACTGTGCTGATAATGAACTGAGCACCAAATTATCTGCAGAAATTGGGGATCTCCTCTGGTTTTTGTGGTTCTGCCATGAACAGTGCCATGAGAACTGTGTCTCTGTCTGTCGTGCTCCCTTGCAGTGAATATTCACTGTGATTAATATTGCAGTGAGGGATGCAACTGAAGCACTTGGAGCTGAGTTTCCCCTTTTCTCTTTGCAAAAACAAGTGTGATCTTGGCTTTCACAGGAGCAGAAGGAACTTTAGTACATATCCCAGTGTCATTTATCTCCTGCCTCCAGGGAAGACATAACATTTGCTTCTGTTCTTACCAGGAAATTTCCTTGAGGCAACTGTTAAAAATTCTGAAGATACTCCAAGGTGAACCGTGCTGATAAAAGTTGGTGATTGAAATGTGGAATGCAGCAACTTTCTGGTGCCTGACAGAACAAAGTTGAGCACACGCTCCCCTTACAAAGGACATTCTGTGTGTGCTTTTAGCAAGAGCTCCACAAATCTAACATTTCTGCTACTAATTTATTTGAAGCTTCTAACAATGAGATTACAGGCACAGTGTCAAAAAGGATTTTTGATAGCATGGCTGCTTTTATTGCAGTCTCCTGTGTGTGGAGAAGTATTTTTGTGTCTTCCTCAAAGGTATTAGAAAGAAGTCATGGAAAAAGTTGTCTTCCAGTTCCTTTGTTAGCACTCAGAATTTGCTGTGTTTGAACATGAGTGTCAATATTTACCTCAAAGCCAGAGCTCTATGTCAGGATTTTGTTGCAGATTTGACATTAAATATGCACAGGAGCCCATGCCTTATCCTGGAAACCAAACAGGTTCATTTCCTTGGTTCCTCCCACCCGGGAGTGCTGCTCCCAGTGGTCAGGAGGAGTCCCAGTGCCCTTGGAAGGTTTTTCCCTTCAGAACTCCTGGGAGAGTCGATGGATGAGAATAGAAGTGACGTTCTTGCACATGAATTCCCACAGCCCACACGAGCAGAGTTTGTCAGCTCAGGGTGCCCCCGAGGAGCCCCCGGGGCCGTGCCCTGCTGGCCCAGCCGTGTGTCAGGGCTGTGCTGCTGTTTGTCTCTGCAGACTCGGGACGGGAGCTGGTCATCACCGACCCCGTCATCAAGAACCGCGAGCTCTTCATCTCCGACTACGTGGACACGTACCACGCTGCTGCCCTCAGGTGGGGACACCTGGGGACACCTGGGGACCGGCTGGGGTCATCCTGGGGCTGGGGACAGCCTGGGGCTGGGCTGGGGCTGAGGACAGCCCTGGGGACACCTGGGGGTGGGCTGGGGTCAGCCTGGGGCTGGGACAGAGGTTCCTGAGGCCCTGTGGGGACAGCCAGGGGGCACAGAGGTTCCTGAGGCCCTGTGGGGACAGCCAGGGGGCACAGAGGTTCCTGAGGCCCTGTGGGGACAGCCAGGGGGCACAGAGGTTCCTGAGGCTCTGTGGGGACAGCCAGGGGGCACAGAGGTTCCTGAGGCCCTGTGGGGACAGCCAGGGGGCACAGAGGTTCCTGAGGCTCTGGGGGGACAGCCAGGGGGCACAGAGGTTCCTGAGGCTCTGGGGGGACAGCCAGGGGGCACAGAGGTTCCTGAGGCCCTGTGGGGACAGCCAGGGGGCACAGAGGTTCCTGAGGCCCTGTGGGGACAGCCAGGGGGCACAGAGGTTCCTGAGGCTCTGGGGGGACAGCCAGGGGGCACAGAGGTTCCTGAGGCCCTGTGGGGACAGCCAGGGGGCACAGAGGTTCCTGAGGCTCTAGGGGGACAGCCAGGGGGCACAGAGGTTCCTGAGGCTCTGGGGGGACAGCCAGGGGGCACAGAGGTTCCTGAGGCCCTGTGGGGACAGCCAGGGGGCACAGAGGTTCCTGAGGCTCTAGGGGGACAGCCAGGGGGCACAGAGGTTCCTGAGGCTCTGGGGGGACAGCCAGGGGGCACAGAGGTTCCTGAGGCCCTGTGGGGACAGCCAGGGGGCACAGAGGTTCCTGAGGCTCTAGGGGGACAGCCAGGGGGCACAGAGGTTCCTGAGGCTCTGGGGGGACAGCCAGGGGGCACAGAGGTTCCTGAGGCTCTGGGGGGACAGCCAGGGGGCACAGAGGTTCCTGAGGCTCTGTGGGGACAGCCAGGGGGCACAGAGGTTCCTGAGGCTCTGGGGGGACAGCCAGGGGGCACAGAGGTTCCTGAGGCTCTGGGGGGACAGCCAGGGGGCACAGAGGTTCCTGAGGCTCTGGGGGGACAGCCAGGGGGCACAGAGGTTCCTGAGGCCCTGTGGGGACAGTCAGGGGGCACAGAGGTTCCTGAGGCTCTGGGGGGACAGCCAGGGGGCACAGAGGTTCCTGGGGTCACTGCCCCCCAGCCCAGCTGTGCCCTCTCCCTGCAGTGCTCTGTGCCCTGGTGCAGCAGGAGCTGCAGCCGTGCAGGTTCCTCTCCGTGCCAGGCACTCAGTGGTGCCCAGCAGGAGCTGTTTGCCCTCCCTGCCAGCCCAGGGCATGGCTGGCTCCTGCAGAGCCCCTCGTGCAGCCCTGGCTCTCTGCTGGGCTGCGTGAAAGGCTCGTTGTGGGTGCTGTCCCTGCTCACAGCCCAGCCCAGGCCGAGGAGACCCCAGCTGCGTGCCCTCACTCTGCCCTGGCACCCTCCAGGCTTCGGAGCTGCCCAGGCTGAGGGCACACCCTCGCTGGAGCTGCTCTCAGAGCCCAGCAGCCAGGCGTTATTTGTCAGCTGATTTTCAGCGTGCCAAACACGCGTGGATATTGTCAAGATGCAAATTGAATAATCTCCCTGATAATGGTGCTCAGATGGTGTCTCACCACAGCCATCTGGAGACATGTTTTTGTTCGGAGTCACTTTGCTGAAGCCACTTACTTCAAGACAAACTGGCTTCTGTTCTGGTGGGGGAAAGCCTTTGATTTACATATTAAACCTTTCTTATGAACTCAGAGCATTGCAGGGTGTGCTGGGAGCCTCTGCTGAGTGCCAGTGTCACACCAGGAGCCAGGCTGCAAATCTGGAAATCAAACACACAGACTCAGCTCTGTGGCCGCAGATTCCCTGGGACTGCTCCGACTCCCCTGCCACATCCCCTCAGTGCTTTTTCCCTTTAAAGAAAAGATAGGAACGGAAAGATAAAAATGGAATTTCCGTGTGTGCCAAACAAAGTTGGGCAATAACCTGTGAGTGCAGAGGATGAGCAGAAGGATAATTGCACATGGTGTTCCTGCAGAGAACGTGGGGGAGGCACAGTGTGTCGTGATGCATGAAAGGTTAACGTGAGATTCTAATTTATTATAATGCCAGATTATCGCTCTGCCCTCTGCGAACAAATGGACACTCAGTGGATTGATGACAAACTGGGGAGTAAAAACCAGTGATTGTAACCAGCAATATTCTGCTCTAACCAGTGGGAAAATTTAACTAGAGGGTAGTTGTAGATCTCTGTGGAAGTGTGTCATAAACACGATGTGCTTTTTACCTCTCTGGTGAGTGCAGAACTCCTGGTCTGGAGTGCTGGGAGCAGGAGGTGCTGCTGCCATCCACAGAGACAATGCAGCTTAGCTGCACAGTGCTTATTAGCTGCCAGGTGAATTACTGAAAGGAAGCCAAACCTCTTTCCCTAGAATACTTCTAAAATGTGAGATATCAAAAGGAACCCCCCTGCTCATTTTCTGTCTCTCTAAGTGACTAAACTTGGGAAGCAGTGCCAGCCTGCAGGGAGGAAATGAGTGTGAGAGCAGGGCTGGCACTCAGGGTGTGTGGGGGCCTCTCAGACCTTGGATTGGGGAATTTTGGAGGCTGTGACTGGAACTGTAGCAGCTTTGCACGTTGGAGACTGTCAGCATTGCATCCAAGCTGTTGCTGGTGGGGCTGGTGGTGTTTGGGCTGTGCTGGCTGGAGGAGAATTAGTGGGAGTTTGCGGAGCAGCATCTGAGCCACCGTGACTGCACCTCCCTCCCTTTGCACCGTGGGAAGAGCCCTTTAACACTCCTGTTAAAGGATTTCTGTGTTTATGGTGTTTGGGACATTTATGGGAGCAGGGATGCCTGTGCCTTCTCCCCAGATTGCACTTCATTAAAGCAGCTGTTACTCAAGCTGGAATTCTAATGCCATTTTCTCCTCTTCCTTCCTTGCAGAGGGAAGTGCAACATCTCCCATTTCTCTGACATATTTGCTGCTAGAGAGTTTAAGGCACGAGTGGATTCATTTTTCTACATCCTGGGCTACAATCCAGAGACAAGGTAAGTGAAAATGGCTTTTAAACTCCACTTCACACTGACCTGAGCTGGTGTTCACTCAGAGGTTGGGCTCGATGATCCTGGAGGTCTTTTCCAACCTTAATTCTATGAAAATCACTCAGGGGAAGAAAGGTTTAAACCCAGCTGGCAGGAGGCTGGGCTGCAAGGGCTGCAAGGGACAAGCTGCAGATTTGAGTGTGTGTTTATACAGGAGAAAAATAAGAGCAGAAAATAAAATTGTGCAGTGAGTCCTGATATCCAGGTGCACCTCTGGGTAAATAATGTGCAGCTTCTTGGAAACATGGAAGTTTTGTAAAACTTGCAAACTTCAGCAGGAATTCTTGGCTGTCTTGTTGGCTGAATGTGCACCCTTGAAAATACCTCTAAAAATCATTTACATATTCTAGTCAGCAAAGTTGAAATTTAGACACTTCTAAGAAATCAAATGGGAAGTTTTTAAGTGTGGAAATTCCTGCTTTCATGTGTGAATGACTGTCCAGGGTCCCTGTCAGGAGTTCCTGGTTTATGCCTTGCTGCCCAGAACAAAGAGAGGCACAGGAAGGATTTTTTGGATCAGTTCATGCTTGAGGAAGGTGTGTCCATGCGCTGGTTTGTTCAGCCAGCTTGGGCAGCTCTGGGGGAAAGCTCAGTCCAGGCTGTGGCTTGGTTATTTTCTGCATTTATGGGATTCTCTAGCACAGAAAATGCCCCACAGGTGCCAGCCTTGAGCAGTTTGCTGTTCAGGGGGTATTTCCATGAGTGAGAGATGAAGAATTGGGCTCAGGTCTGTGCCCACTGGGGGGAATTGTTCTTTGAGCACAATCAGCTGTGCACCTTCATTTCCAGAGATATCCTGGAGAAAAGTCTCATTTGAACTGGGGTTAGATAAGCATGTAAATAATAAATATTTGAATTGTTCTGTGGTGGATTTACTGTTCCTAGAGCAGATCTGGATCTTTGTGCTCCAGGGCATTGCCAGCCCCTGAGTGCCTGCAGTTAGGAGGAGCTCCCTGAGTGGTGTTTATTATAAAATTGCCTCTCAATGAGGCTCCCTTGCCTCACTGTGAGGTGTCCCAGGCTGTCTGGGTGGGCTGGACTGCTGGAACTGCCTCCCTCAGGCATTTCCCTGTCTCTGGGAATTCATGGTGCTGAGCCCTGGGGATATCCCAAATTCCAACACCTAAAATGCTTCTGGAACATCACTGGTGTTGTCTTCTGAGTGGTCCACGAGGCAAGGCTTGGGGAGCTTTGCATTGGGGAGGTTTTTATGGGGAGGTTTTCATGAGTGAGGGTTTCATGGATGGGGTTTTCATTGGTGAGGTTTTCCTGGATGGGGTTTTCCTGGTGAGGTTTTTGTGGATGAGGATTTCCTGGTGCCCCTCTCTGATGTTCAGCGCCCTCCCTGACCCCCGTGCTTGTCCCTGTGTTTCAGTTTGGGGTTGCAGTGTTGGTACTGGTGCCTAAGGGATGATTTCTCTGTGAAATGGCATTTTTGGTGCTGTCAGTGTGGTTTTAAACCCACTTTCTGGGTAGAGGAGCTGTTAGTTCTTCCAGCTCTCAGAGGATGACTGAGCCTGAAAGGATCAATGAAAGGACAGAGCAGAGCACTTAGTGATCAGCTAATTACTCCAATTAGCCAGCTCTGCAAGGTCGCTTTTTCTTCATTTGGTTGCAGCCAGGTTTCTTTTTCTGAGCTGTGTTTTGGTGCTCGTTGCTGGCTGTGAGTTTCTGCTGCCGCATTTCCTCTGCTGTGGGAAGTGAAAGTGTTTGGGTACATTTCAGTGCAGGCTGTTGGGGTTTGTCAGTTCCATGTTCCCCTTGGTCTGAGAATGTTTTGGGTACATTTCAGTGCAGGCTATGGGGGTTTGTCAGTTCCATATTCCCCTTGGTCTGAGAATGTTTTGGGTACATTTCATTGCAGGCTGTTGGGGTTTGTCAGTTCCATATTCCCCTTGATCTGAGAATGTTTTGGGTACATTTCAGTGCAGGCTATGGGGGTTTGTCAGTTCCATGTTCCCCTTGGTCTGAGAATGTTTTGGGTACATTTCAGTGCAGGCTATGGGGGTTTGTCAGTTCCATATTCCCCTTGGTCTGAGAATGTTTTGGGTACATTTCAGTGCAGGCTGTTGGGGTTTATCAGTTCCATGTTCCCCTTGCTCTGAAAGTGTTTGGCTACATTTCAGTGCAGGCTGTTGGGGTTTGTCGGTTCCATGTTCCCCTTGATCTGAGAATGTTTTGGGTACATTTCATTGCAGGCTGTTGGGGTTTGTCGGTTCCATGTTCCCCTTGATCTGAGAATGTTTTGGGTACATTTCATTGCAGGCTGTTGGGGTTTGTCAGTTCCATGTTCCCCTTGGTCTGAGAATGTTTTGGGTACATTTCATTGCAGGCTGTTGGGGTTTATCAGTTCCATGTTCCCCTTGCTCTGAAAGTGTTTGGGTACATTTCATTGCAGGCTGTTGGGGTTTGTCAGTTCCATGTTCCCCTTGATCTGAGAATGTTTTGGGTACATTTCAGTGCAGGCTGTTGGGGTTTGTCAGTTCCATGTTCCCCTTGATCTGAGAATGTTTTGGGTACATTTCAGTGCAGGCTGTTGGGGTTTGTCGGTTCCATGTTCCCCTTGATCTGAGAATGTTTTGGGTACATTTCATTGCAGGCTGTTGGGGTTTGTCAGTTCCATCTTCCCTTGATCTGAGAATGTTTTGGGTACATTTCAGTGCAGGCTGTTGGGGTTTGTCGGTTCCATGTTCCCCCTGATCTGAGAATGTTTTGGGTACATTTCATTGCAGGCTATGGGGGTTTGTCGGTTCCATGTTCCCCTTGATCTGAGAATGTTTTGGGTACATTTCAGTGCAGGCTATGGGGGTTTGTCGGTTCCACCTTCCCCCTGCTCTGCTTTCCTGTGGAGGTGTTTTGGTTCCATGGAGGGTGAGAAGCACCCCTGGTTGTGTGAAATTGTTATTATAAAGGCTCTGAAGGCTGCAGTGAGCCTGCTGGGGCAGTGTGGGCTGGGACCCCAACAATCCCAAACTGGGCACTGTGTGTGCAGGGGATTTCTGCCTTGGGCATTCTGGGCTCACCATGGGATGCTCCGAAACTTCTGCAGCACTCTCAGATGCAGCTCAGCCTGTTTGGGGTCTATTTTAGTGTGTTTATGTTTGCAAAGAAGCTATTTTTGTGTGTTTGTGTTTGCAAAATAAATAGAAAAACCCCAGAGAGCAGAAACATCCCCAGCACTGGGGAGGATGTGTAGGATGAGACTCTTTTGTTGTTGGAGGACTCAGAGCTCCAGGAAAGGTTGTTTTGTCCTTTCTGTGCCGTTTGAAACTTGTGATACACCAGGAAATTGTGTATCCACCCCTGCTACAATGAACATTCCTCACCGGATTGTTACAAGAAAATGAAGGAATTTTCTGGGGCCTGATCTGTTTTGCTTACTCTGTATTTCAAAATACAATATTTGGGGAACTTTTAATCCTTCTTTGGCCTCATGGTAGATGGAGGCATCTCAGAAACTGGAGAACAGAGGGATGTGTCCCAATTAAAGCTGTGTGTGCTGGAGGGGACATTGCCTTCATGTAAATGGGTACCTAAGAGCAAGTTTGGAATCCCCAATAAATAGAAGGGTTAGAGATGCAGCTGGTGCAGGAAGTTCAGGCAGGGAGAATCAAGCCTGGCTCCTCGGGTGCCAAAGAATAATATTCCTTAAACGGCAGAGGAGTATTCCTTAAATGGGAGAATACTGTGTGCCTCGCAGGTCCTGGCTGAATTTACCAGCGGATCCCTGGCTCTATTCCCGGATCCTCTCTGCATTTATCGGCAGATCCCCGCTGTGTTTATTTACGGATCCCCGCTGTATTTATCAGAGGATCTCCAGCTGTACCAGGGGATCCCAGGCTGTATTTATTTACAGATCCCCACTGTATTTATTTACAGATCCCTGCTGTATTTATTCATGGATCCCGGGCTGTATTTCTCAGCAGATCCCTGGCTGTATTTCCAGATCCCTGGCTGTATTTATCAGCGGATCCCTGCTGTATTTATTCATGGATCCCTAGCTGTATTTATCAGCAGATCCCAGGCTGTATTTATTTCCAGATCCCCTCTGTATTTATTCATGGATCCCCACTGTATTTATTCATGGATCCCGGGCTGTATTTATCAGCAGATCCCTGGCTGTATTTCCAGATCCCCGGCTGTATTTATCAGCAGATCCCTGCTATATTTATTCATGGATCCCTGGCTGTATTTATCAGCAGATTCCCGGCTGTATTTACGGATCCCCGCTGTATTTGTCAGCAGATCCCCTCTGTATTTATTCACGGATCCCTGGCTGTTTTTGCGGATCCCTGCTGTATTTCTCAGCAGATCCCTGGCTGTATTTCCAGATCCCCGCTGTATTTATTCACGTATCCCCGGCTGTTTTTGCGGATCCCCTCTCTATTTATTCACGGATCTCCGCCGTATTTATTCGTGGATCTCGGGCTGTATTTCTCAGCAGATCCCTGGCTGTATTTCCAGATCCCCGCTGTGTTTATTCACGTATCCCCGGCTGTTTTTGCGGATCCCCGCTGTATTTATCCCCGGATCCCCGCTGTATTTACGGCCCCGCCGTGTTCGCTGCCGGAGCGGCGGCGGCGAGCGGAGCCGGAGCCGTTCCGGAGGGAGGAGGAGGAGGAGGAGGAGGAAGGAGGGAGGGTCACAGCACATGCTCAGTGCCGGCGGTCCGAGGGCGAAGTTTGTGCGTTCTGCGTGCGGGCTTAGGTCACAGCACAAGCTCAGTGCAGGCTCGGCGGCTCGGGCAGCCCGCATGTGCCTCCATTTTGAGCTGCGAGAGGGCCAAAGGCGCAGCTCGGGCCGGGAGCCGCGGCCGCAGCGATCGTGCCCGGCCCCGGGCGCCTGGCACAGCCATGGACGATCCCCTCGGGCCCTGCAGGTAGGCGGCGGCAGCCCGGGCATCGCCCGGGGCCGGGGCATCGCCCGGGGCTCGTGCAGCCCCCGGC